GTATATATATATATATATATATACAGTAATGAACAAAGAAGTCACATGACCGGAACTGTTGTGAAACTTAGAAGTTCACTTAGAAGTTCTAAGTTTCACAACAGTTCCGGTCATGTGACTTCTTTGTTCATTACTGTATATATATATCCGTGTCAGTGTAAATTACTTGTACCTGATGATGACAAAACCTTGTCGAAACGTTGTACATTTGCTGTTATATTAAAGTTTTTCTTCATTACCCATTCAAGCCGTCTCCAGCCATTATTATAACTTTAAAAATGGTTTTTGCTACCTGCGGTGGGAACAACACAAATAACCCATTTCATAGCTTCGCGCTTAACAATAAACAAACAAGCACTTCACAGGTAGACTATTAGCGCATAGGTCCTCGTGTAGCTTTGCGTGAAATTAAACCAAACAACTTACGTATGTACTGCCTTATGATATGGGAGGAATTAGAATTCTAGTTAAAAATGAATTCTATAGTACTTAATACAGCTTAAACTTTAATAAACATTGAGCTGCAGCAGTTAATATGGCAACTGCAATAATTATGCATTTGACAGAGAGAAACCAAGCTTTTCGGGTAATTATTCATTGGTTACACTTATTGCACTATGTACTGTGTGGTGCTGAAAATTCTTGTAACTATGTTATTTGTTTGTTGTCCCTTGTGGCTGCCACTCTTTGCACTATGTACTGCTGCAAATTCTCGTAACTGTCCAAAAGCAATCTTTCGGTTTTCTTCAAAGAATGTATTATATTTTTGAGGCATCATCTACCAGATTGGCTATTTTGAATTATTTTGTCAATATCACTCTCAAGTCCTGAATATATGTATGACAGTAAAACAATTCAGAACAATGAACTAATAAAATCATGCATATAGCGCTATGGCACTATTCACTGACTTGTATTTACTGAGAAGAGTTTTCTAAGTTGAAATTAATTGATCTGAGATCGACCACGTTTTAGGAGCATCTCACAGGGTTGTTGGAGAATTCGTAACAAGAGTAATTTTAAATTCAATTGTCAAACTTTAATAACTATATAAAAACTATATTATGTTATTAAAATAGTTAAGTATCATGCATGGGGTCTACGGTTTATGAATATGAAGAAGAACCAATCATTGATGCACAAAAACTCTTCAAAACTCTATCTCTCTTTTTTTCTTTGCAAAGTGGTGGTGGAAAACGCAGTTTCAAAGACAACAGAAGATCTAAAACATTGTTCTTATAAATTACGATTAACTTGTAACACTATAACTGAAAGGTGCGTGAGTGTTTTATAGCAAAGCCACATCGGGCTATTTACTGTGAACCCCTGATTTTATCATTGTAAATCTGAAGACTTACCGCTATCCCATCCATTGGCGGACACACTATAACTGGAATAGGACAACATTGTACAGTTATCATCACATAAGATAGACTATAGATCATAGTTGTATATTCAGAAGAAAATAAATGTATGACATTGTAACCGTTTTAGATAGATAACATCATAGCCGTGTAACCAGAATATGGTGACACTGTGGCAATATAACAAGATAAAATAGCTAAAATCATGGCTGAATAACTCATCATCGGATAAGACATTTATAGCTTTAGAAGCAAACAAGATACATGAAATTATAGCTTTATAAACAAAAGAGAATACATAAAATAGCGTTGTACAACCAGGTGAGATCGGATAAACATAATCATTCTGTATAACCTATGCTTGCATATTTCTCCGACTGTACCTTTTGTGCACTTTTCAAAATTTTCACTCAAGTAATCACCAGAATTGTTGAAGTGTTTATTATTTTACTAAATTAACATATTTTTAAAAGGCTTTTGAAAATGTATTAGTGAGACATAAAGTTCAAGTTTTGAAGGGTTTTTTTTTGTCCATATGTGTTTTTACAAAAATTATATATGTTTACCCAAGTATTTTTCGTCATGAACTGATACTGTTTATTATGTTTATGCATTTTATTTTCTACAGGTCTCTGAAACGTGAATTAACTTCTAAGAATTTTTTACAAAGCAACACAAACAGCTTCAGCTCAAACATATTTCCAGTGTTTGACATACTGAATCTAGCACATTCTATGGGTGGGTGGAAAGTTCTTGGAAATGTGAGTGCTTCATCCGTCCGTCTAGATACCGTCCTTTGGCTAGGAGCACAGAGAACAACTTCTTGGCCTCTAGGAAAGCAACGGTTCCGGGTGGTCACCGCCTTTGCCCCACCCTTTGTTCAGGAGTCTACGAGGGTAAGCAGTGGCAGTTGTCTAATGGGAACACCGTGCTTGCAGGTGACCACCAATCGCAAAGAAGAACTGATAGCAATCTTCGCCGACTACGCTCAAGGTAAATCTGAAGGGATCCGATACAACATCACCTGTTGTGCAGGAATTACTATAGACCTGCTAACCGACATAGCTCGTGATTTGCACTTCGACTACGACTTATATTTAGTATCTGATGGAATGTTTGGCACCAATCGAGGGAAGGGATGGAACGGAATCACAGCGGACTTGATTAGTGGTGCTGCCCACCTCACCTTTTCATCGTACAGCGTCAACAGTCTCACTATTCAGGATGTGGACTTCTCCGTCCCTTATTTCCACTCGGGAGTGTCATGTCTGGCACCCTCTAAATTGCATGCAGTTCCACTGTCTGCCTTTTTGGAGCCTTTTAGTATCCAACTTTGGGTCGCTATATTTATTAGCCTAAATGTTACCGCTATCGTTGCCGCTGTCTATGAGTGGGTAAGCCCGTTCGGTCTGAACCCATGGGGCAGACAACGTATCAAGAATTTCAGTTTAGCCTCAGCTCTTTGGGTCATGTGGTCCTTACTCTTTAGCCACCTCGTGGCCTTTAAAGCTCCCAAATCCTGGCCCAATAAAGTACTTATTAATGTGTGGGGTTGCTTCAGCGTCATATTTCTCGCCAGCTATACAGCTAAATACGCGGCCCTCTTTGCAGGACTGTTCTTTCAACTACGAGTGGATGATTTGTATGATTCCAACGTAAGTACGAGATCTAAAACGTTACTGTTTACACATAATTAAAGTACAGATATTTAAACACGTTCTGGTTCTTACAACTTATACATAATTTCTGTGTTAAGTAGTTAATTCCAAGCAACTGATGTACTTGGAATGTTTGACTTTATAATTGTTTTTCTATTTGTAAATCAATAATATGTGAAATCACATGTAAAAATATTCCCACTAGACCAGTACAGATTAAAATGGTACAACTTACTTCGTTCCTTAAAAGCAAGACAATACTGTTACACGTTTTTTTTTTAAGTAAAGAGAAACCTGCCGTTGTTAAAAAATGAAAGTAACAAATTATACTTGAACAATAAAATATAAAAAATAAATAGCAATTAATGGATGACTACTTTACGTCTTTTAAATATTTAACAAATAAATTACGTGACTTGAGAAACGTTCTGTATAGTCAATTAGCAATTCCTACGTTAAACAAAGTCTAAGAGCAGCACCATTCGACGCTCGATAATTGAAATGCTTGACTTATTCAGAAACTGTTGCAATTAATATTTTTCTGCATTTACCTAAACCTAATCCCGCACCGCTCGCACGTCGAGTGAGCGTTCTCCATAGCTACTGCCAGTAAATCACTTATTTTTCTTTTTTTACTGCTTAAACTACCCGTCTACTATAAATCTAAGTTAGCCGTTGGCAGTTCATAAAGATAACTAGAAATCAAGCTGAATAAGCTCAGCCGTGGTCCGTCCTAAATATCTGTCTATACATGTTACTTGAAAATTAAGTTTAACGGTAACAGATATTCCTTACAATTAAAACTCCGAAAAATGATGAATAATTAACTTTCGAAATACCAGTTGAAATATATAACACAAGAAGCATTTCTATTACTTCAGTGAAGCCTAACCTTTGATTATTTCTGTATATTACTTTCGATGTTTTACTTGAAGTCAAGGAAGGTTACTATTTACAATAACATACCATGAGTAGTAGTAGTACTTCAGTTAACCCCCAGGGTATCACGACAGTCATAATGTAGTAAACTGCTAACTTTGTTCTTCTTTTTTCTATATCTCTTCTTGTAACAATATTTTCATCAGATGAGTATACCTTGAACTTGTTATTTTTGACGGTTTAAAATTGTTTTTAACTCTTTGAACTTAACTAATAGAAATATTTTTTAATAATGGGAAAATTTTCTTAACTAGCTAAAATGTCATTTATTTCCAGCGATTTCAAACAGCGAGCACGTTTTTAATTTTAATAGACTTCACACTTATGAGAACCAATAAGCACGGAGGATCACTAATGGTAGACACCTAAGTCTGCGGACTTACAACGCTAGAAACCGGGTTTCGATACTCGCATTGGGCAGAACAGAGATAGCCCATGGTGTAGCTTTGTGCTTAACTTCAAACAACGACAGCAGACACCTAGGCCTTGCATGGGCAGGTGGTTAAGGCTTTTGACTCGCATTCTGTGAACCGCGGGATCCAACCCCGTTTATAATATTACGTTTAATCCCACTGGTCGTTGGTAAAGAGTAGCCCAAGACTTGACCGTGGGGAGTGTTGACTAGTTGTCTTCCCTCTAGTCTATAACTTCAAAATTAATGACGGCTAGCGCAGGTAGCCATCGAGTAGCTTTACGCGAAATTCAACTATTGGGAAGGCAGCAACTCATCACCACCAACGAATAGTGCGATTGACCGTCATACATTAATGCCCCCCACTGCTGAAAGGGTGAGCATGTTCGGTGGTAGGATTCGAGTGTCCTAACTACCAGGTCGTGATATCAATAGGAAAATAGATACATACTTCAATTTTTTTGGTATCTTTCGGAACTGTCTGACATGTTATTTATTTGAATATAAATAAATATTCAACCGTATTCAATATTTCAAGTTTTAATAAACACTGTTTGAAGCTATATTAATCTTATCACATTTGAAACTAGCTAGAGTACTCGTCCCCTGGACGGAAGTTATGTAAATTCATGCTTAATGAAAGGTTATCTTAGGACTGAAAATTTGCTTCCCTTATATGTAATTGTAGAAAACGCAAAAACGCCTATAAAAATTGTAAAACACAAAATATGAAACCGAAAATTTGCATGTATTTCTGCATGGACCCAACAAACCTTCATGCCACATTTGGTGAAGGTCCATCAACAGGGGTGAAGTAGTGGTAAAAAACGCAAAACTCTCATCAAAACCGCAAAACTAAAATTTTGTATGTACCCCATTATGGACTTCATGAACCTCCATATCAATTTTGGTAAAGATCCATCCACACTCTGCGAAGTAGTTACATGGACATACAACAGAGAGTACTATTATATTTATATAGATACAACATTATCAGACTTTACACCACGTCGCTAAAAGTTATTTTGTTCTGAGATCATTCTGAGGTAACTTGATTTTGTTTGAATTCAAAGTTTCATATCTGGATTTGATCACCAGCAGTTTCCTGTATTCAAAGTGAACTAAAGTTTCAAAACTGGATTTCATCACCAGCAGTTTCTTATCTTCAAAGTGAACTAAGGTTTCAAAACTGGATTTCATCACCAGCAGTTTCTTATATTCAAAGTGAACTAAGGTTTCGAAACTGGATTTCATCACCAGCAGTTTCCTGTATTAAAAGTGAACTAAGGTTTCAAAACTGGAATTGATCACCAGCAATTTCTTATATTCAAAGTGAACTAAGGTTTCGAAACTGGATTTGGTCACCAGCAGTTTCTTATATTCAAAGTGAACT